GGGAAATACATTATGCCATATTTTTATAACCACCAAAAGGCATCTTTGATTTTTAGGATTCCTTGATACAGTTTTTAGATAGCAACATTCTGAATTCTTTAGCTGCTGTTATGACTGGCAGCTACCATCACCTCAAGTTCTACTTCAAGAAATGGTACACTGTCACTATTGATAAAGGTTGGATTGTTGTTAGAACTTCTGTAATGTCATCTGCAATGAGGAAGCACTAGCATTTTCACATGCCAGGATAGCTAACTAGGAACTGTAATTGGGTACACTGCCTTGTTTTCAATTGTTCTTCCTAATATAGAACCAACTTGGACACATTAAAAAATCTTTGAATCGGCAATTATTAATCTGAATATCACTGTATCTTGACTTGCATTTTAACAATGAATGAAATGAAGATCCACATGTACAAATGTTTTCTATTATTTGCCATGTGCTTGATGTCTTAGGAGAACTTTAAATTCATAGGACCTGCAGTACTGGGATGTGCATATTTAACTGTATTCAGCAAGATAGGAAACTGAACCACACTGAGGGAAATGTTAGAAGATCCAGGAAAAAAAAACCCTCACAAAACATTAATGAAAAGGGGTAACTAGCTTCTAAAATGGGAATGGTATGGGGCAAGGGGCCTTTCTACATTCATGTTTGAAAACGTTTCCCACAGGCTGTTCTTAGCCACCAGATTCATCTCAGGCTGCCCAACTGGGAAGAGAGCCGCGCCAATGGAGAGAAGACCTGCTGCATTTGAGTCATCAAGCTAGAACTTTTGTTTTCTCTCCTCTGCTTCTAATTCCAGGTGAGAAGCTGAAAGATGAAGAAGAGGCCTTTTCCTCTTGGTTACTATTTTAGAGGGCTAGCTCTGCTGAAAAACCCAATCATCCAAACAAATGGCTCCTAATCTTTTGAAGGCAAGGTAAACCTTTTTACGGTTAGTCATGTAATTTTGATTGGGCCAGCCCTGAGTTGAATAAAATGCTACTCCTTTCCTGTCTTTTTTTAAAGATCTAAAACAGTAGTCAAAAGTGGCAACATCTTCTTTGCCTGCATTTCCTTATTGCCTTCTTCCCCAGCCAGGTGTCCTCTATATATGCTAGAACACAACTCTCATGACCCCCTGTTGCATATGCTGAATGAAAGTTATGGTCCAAAATATCTCAAGGACACAAAGTTGGGAAAGGCTGCTCCAGTATGTAAACATTGCTCTGGGCAGAGATATATTGGTTAGACAAGTAAATCTAATGGAATGAAGTAAAACTCCTTTGGGTAGCATTGCTTATTCCAGCAAAAGGAGTGGGTGAGCAACAGAGGAATTCCATTTCTTAAGAGAAACCTCGCCCTCAAGGTGGAGCTATGCTTGGCTAGGACTTATATTGTCCAATATAGGATAGCTGGGTAAGCAGGCAGGAGTAGGAGAATGGTTTTGTTCATTAGGTTTAGGTGTTTCTGGATGAAAGGCATCTGCCGGATTATTTAATAGTCAATCACCTAAGCAATTCCAAGCAACATAGTCCATTATGGTGGTGGCCTAACAGACTAGGCATTGGATGTTACCCTGCCTTCCTTCCCTGGGTTCTTTGTGCTAAAATATCCCACTATTTGGTCTGGCCTGGATTTACAAGATTACCCCAACCTTCTTTTAGTAGTCAGTAAAGAGCAAGCTCTGTTAATCCATGGCTAGATCCTCCTCCCTTGAAATGGTAATATTAAGGCAGAGTTTCAGGGCCATGAGCAACTTCACAGCCCAGTTATTCAAGTTGCATTTTTGCTCAGATAATCACAATTTCACAGCAGCACAACTTCATCTGAAAACACAAGAGCTTTTTTAGATTTTTTTTTTATCCCGCCTTTATTATTTTTTATAAATAACTCAAGGTGGCGAACATACCTAATACTCTTTCCTCCTCCCATTTTCCCCACAACAACCCTATGAGGTGAGTTGGGTCTGAGAGAGAGTGACTGGCTCAAAGTCACCCAGATGGCTTTCATGCCCAAGGTGGCATTAGGACTCAGAGTCTCCTGGTTTCTAGCCTGGTACCTTAACCACTAGATCAAACGGGCTCTCTTTCTTTTCCTCATAAAGGAAAAATAAACTTTTCAAACTTTTCCTCATAAAGAAGATTAATTGGTCTGAACTATCAGTCCTTCTGACAATATAGTATACCAATCCATAGTAACCAACCAGTCCCCTTTACCCTCCTTCTGCAAATGGATAAGCTCTAGTTCACAATGAATAACTTCCTTGGTTTCCAATCTATTCCATCCCACTCCTATTCAGGTAAGGAGAGTGACAGATTCATACTGCAAACAGACCATCACCAAGAGGACTTCCTCAGTCATTGCCGTCATAAAGGCTGATAGTTCTAGATTACAAAGTGGACGGTTCCACCTTACAAAATACATTCTGCTTGAATGAAACAGGAGACAGGGAGACCTCAAAAAACCTGAAAGGTTGTCACATTTATAGGAGAGGCAATCACTACTGTCCCCTGAAAATCCTTGTCATTTATTCGTCCAGCCTTCTTCCACTAGTGCCACACAGATGTGTTGAACTTTAACTCTCAAGCCAGGCAAATGGTAATGAATCTTGGGGACAACAAGTGTGGAAAGTCTGCACAATCATCTAAGTTTTTTGATTAAGACCACTTGCTATGTTATTTACAATTAAAGTCTGCATTAAGCAGATGGAAGGTCACAAAAAGGCCCCATTGATAGTAAGATAGAGAAAATGGGGAAAGAAAAGGCTCTACAAAAATACAGGAAGCCAAGAAAATATCAATTATGTTTTTGTTACACCATTCTATTGTTCATTTCTTCATACCCTTAGCTCAGGGAAAGCAGTGCAAAATTCAATCCTTGAATTATCATTATTATTATTTGTAACTAATTTTCACCCAGCTGGCCAGTATTCTTGGCAAGTGTTCATTAGTTCAAAAATGCAAATCCTTTTATCTTACATGTCTGCCTCCCATCTGCTGAGTTAAGGAGAAGTTAATGCAGTACTGGAAAGAGAGGCCAGGCTGTAGGCATACTTAGTTCTTCTGGTCCTACTTACTGGCATGTGACAACATCTGAAGCTTGTGCTGTTTATAATGATTACTGACTATACTTTATTTACATCCTATATAGTGAATTTTTCTCCAGTTATGGGCCCAGTTATGCCTAAGAGGGAACAAATTGTTCAAAAAGAAATGGCGGCGGGGGGGGGGGGGAAACTAAAGGAACAACCCATGTTCTAAAGCAGCCCAGTGAAACACAGGACAGTGAGATAAGGTGAGGAAGGAATTGTGTATTCTGGAAAAGAGTTTGGATGGTTATCTGATACAGTAAATAGAAATGAACTCTCCACTGCAACATTTTAAATGTGTCCTGCTTTGTTATTATATTACAATTATATTAGAAGAAAATAAACCAGCATTGACTTCACAAAGTTCTTTTATGGCAAAATCATGGAGGAAAAAGACACTATATACATTCTACATGGGGACTAGGCAAGTGCAAAACTTAGCATATAATATGAAGTCTGAGAATGTTCTTTCTCACTTCCTAAAAACACATTTTTAAAAAGAGAAAATACTGAAAATCTGGGCAATATCACCTGAATGCTCAGAACTATGTAAGACCAAAGATATTTGGCACAATCTATCTATCTACAGGCCTTGTGAATGATTTGCCAATATAAAAGAAACCCAAAGAGGTTCCATCATGAAAGGAAGCACGAGGCAGTGACAGGAGCCATGGGAGGGCGACAGATTAACACAGTGGCTTCTGCAGTGGGGGTGGGGTGGGGGATGACTAAATGTGCATCACACCATCATGCCTGTTCTGTAAACGTGTTGTGAGGCCTCCTGCACAAATGAAAGGGATAGAACTTGTATCACAATGGCACAATGCTCATTTAGCTGCAGATGCTAAAACTTTAGCCTATGGAAAAGAAAATTATATAAGAACTGAGATCACATTTTAAGAAATTTGACACTGTTTAGTTGTTGTCTCCTCTCACATGCTCTGCTGGAATAAGAACTAAACTGAGGTTATGCTTAGATTAAAAAATAGCCTATTGTCGATTGTTTGGGATCTGTTTCATCAATGAGGCACTCTGCCATGAGATCAAAGTGATGCTGAATTGCCTCAATAAAATATTTTGCTCTGATGTTAGGGAGTTCTGCATGCACAGAAGATTTATCCTGTAAAGTGAAGCAGCCTCTCTGCTGTTCAGAAATGTATTATTCTGTGGTTTTCAATTGGAGGGGTGTTTTACTCAAGTTTTCAATAAGTATCTCTTCATAAGTCCACATGGCACTATTGAAAAAGCAGAGTTGTGCATTATGGAGAATCTAATCATCATGTCTTCCTACCACACAAGCTAAAATTCAGACTTGTATCTTACTTGATCAAGGCTAAAGTTTACAAAAGCTTATGGTTGTGGAGTGCACTGACCCCTCCTATAGTCTAATTTCTTTTGATTAGAAGTTGGCAAACGTGCCTCAAATATCATCAGTAGGACATTTATAGAACATCAGAGGCTGAGTTGCTGGCTTGACATCTATAATTTCAAATTTGAATGTAGTTGCTAATCAGAGCTACAATTCATTTGTGGAGATGGTTACTCCCATAAAACACACTTCAATAGAAACTGCGCCGAAATTTTCTCGAGACAAATTCTGTAAACAGAAGATTTATATAGCTAGTCTAAATAGCTCCTTCAGTATATTATAAATCCTTTTTTTTTCTTTTTTTGCTTTATATGGGAGCCTCTTCAGTTGTCATTGCACGTTAATGCCTGATAGAGATCAATGATCAGGGTTGACTGGAGTTGCAATCAAAATCATCTAGTTTGGGGAAGACTTCTGTATTGATGGCTACTCATTTGGCAAATCATGTGAATGACATACAAGGCTAAATGTTTAAATGTAAGATATTCAGCTTCAGTTAAACTGCTATTTTCCAGATGTGTTTTTTTTTTCCCAAGTTTCATAATCCTCAGCCAGCATGGCTGTGCTGACTAGAGATTAGTGGAGTTGAGTTCCAGCACATCTGAATGACAACAGGTTCAAGACAGCTCCTATAAAAAGGATCTATTACCCTGTCTCCCCAAAATGAAATAATGAGAAAATGGGTGGAAGAAAAGAGATTGACAAGCACATTGGTAAGCAGTATAGAACTGGAAAAAAAATTGACGTTGCTGTCCTGTAGGGGATGCACCACAATGACACATTCTCCCATTCTCCCTTTGATCACAGTTTCCTGAACTCTTGTGCTTTTCAGAAAGGAATGATACAGAATAGCACAAGAAGGGGAGTCTACATGCAAATTGTGCATAGTTGTGCTGCTGATTCAACTCTGTGTGCATCTGATGCAAGCTGCAAGGATCCAGGAAGTGGATTTAAGTTACTGGAAGTCATCCAGTCAGCACCAAATTTAGTTGGAGGGTCTGTGGGGATGGAATTTACAGAAAGGTAAAACAAGAAAAAGGTAAACTGAAAGAGAAAACACTGTTAACTTAGGAGGCTCCTTCCTGTGGAACCAAAGGCAGATGATTAAACACAGAACATAATTCCTAGAACTAAAGAGCAAATGGAATGGCCCAGATAAACTGAATAAAATAAAGTGGAGGAGGAAAAAGAGTTTATTGGGAGTTTGAAAGTAAAAAGACCTTCATGCAGATTAAATAAGGAGGGTACAAAGACAAGAGTTAACAGTCCTGCTAGATCTTTGCCTATGTTGGTTGTGGCAGGAAAGTCGAAGGGCAGCAACCACAGGAAACAGCTCCAAGAGCAGCAATGACGCTTTCACTCTGATGCTTTCTGGGGTTTGCTTTATTTTATAAAAAGATCCTCATATTAGGGTACCACAAACTTGGCTATTGCCCTGCCTGTTAGCACTGCCCTGCAGAAATACAGCGGCCAGCTCTGTGTGGCTATCTCCAGAGTCTCTTGTCTTACACAAGAACATTTATGTTGGGAACACTGGATGTGAGGGATTTCTTGATGCCCCCCAATCATACTGCAAAACCAGGAGTTTATGACAGAGGCAGAAAGCCCAAGAATAAAACCCACCATTCTCTTACCACCAGGGTTACTGGGAGGTGGAGGGAGAGCAGTATCTTGCAAAGGAGACCAAACTGTCTCCTCTTTCACTGTTCACCTGCACAGATCCCAAAGGAAGTGATGGGCACCTCCCTGCCACTCTGTGGTGTTTATTCCAGACCACAGGTTCCGGAGAAAAAAGAAAGAAGACCTAGGAGCAAAGACAGCCAAGATTGGCTCATTCCAGTCTCCATTCCATCCCAATCCAGTTATTTTTAGAGTGCAGACTGCACACTGGGGTCCAAGGTTTCTCGGTCAGGAGATTCAATGTAGTTGGCTGCTTCCTGGAGCTTCAGCAACATTGCCATCTGTAAAGGGTAAGGAGAAAGATTGATAAGTAATACTTAAATATATCAACTTTTCCCAACTTGATGTCTCTCCATGTACTGGGGCTCCCACTTCCAGAACTCTTTGCAACAGTGGCTAACAATTATGGAAGGCAATGTTCCAAGATGCCTGGAAAGCAGCAGAGTGAGGTAGGTTAATGTACATATAACTCAATAGATGCACTTCAGACTGAAAACAAACTGCTACAGTGGGTATATCGGATACCAAGATTCCCATAACGAGATAATGGAATAACTGTGATTATTTCAAGTCATATCCATTTATCATCTGTGCTTTGGATAAGTTGGGAGTTAAGAGAAAGGAAAACATGTACAGTTCTACAAAGGGGAGTTCAAGGACAATTTACATACAGGTTTTTGCATAATACAAGTTTACTTTTCACAATCTACAAGCCTTATTTACAATTATGCAATGTGTCTGGTATTTTGTTTTTATTCAGGTAAGGACACATACTATGAGACCTTGAACCTCAAAGGGATGTGAGAGGGGCTTAGTTTTGCAAACCCACTAATTTCTGTGGAGTCCTTGGGGTTCTCTGAGCTTGGTTCTTTTCTTGCAAACATTTCATTACCCAGTTAGTAACACCTCCAGTGCTAGAATGGGATGGGGTTTGCTCTCTGTTTATATACTGTGGCATGCCCTGCCAGTGTTGGTGGGGTTGGAGGTTTTGTTTTGTTCCTCTGGTAGTTC